TCATTCGACTAAGATTTGCTGAGCGTGCGCTGTGTGACTCTGGCTGGGCACACACCTCTCCACCAGGACTGCCCTCAATTTATAGAATTCAGTGGTCGCACTGACTGCCGTTAGTTCACTGCAAAAACCTATCAAGATCCTACAACGCTCTGCAGGCTAAACAGCAACGTAGCCACAAGTGGCTGGGGAACACGTGTGATGCTCGTGCCCTGTCCCAACATGACTTTCCAAAGTCCCATCTGCAAAACAGAAACAGACTCACAGGCATAGTGAACAAGCTTACAGTTACCAGGGAAAGGCAGTGGGAGGGGATGAATTTGGGAGTTTGAGATTTACAAACATTAGCCACTATATATAAAAACAGATTTTTTAAAAAGCTTCTTTTGTATAGCACGGGGAACTATGTTCAATATCTTGTAACAATCTTTAATGGAAAAAAATATGAAAACGAATGTATGTGTGTATATGCAGGACTGGGACATTGTGCTGTACACCAGAGAGTGACACACTATAACTGACTGTACTTCAATAAAAAATATTTTTTTTAATTTTCAAAGTCCCAGAGGAAAAACTAGATTTATAAAGATGGAAGATATAACCATCCATGTGAAATCAGTTACAGAAACCCTGACACTTCAGTTTCGGTTCTTTCTATAACATCATAAACACTGCAGATCTTTCTTTTAAAAAAATGAATATTTATAAAAGCAGCCCACCCCACCACGTTAGCTGTGGTCTGCCAGAGTGCAGCGCTCCGCAAAGGGTGGGAGTGGTTAGGAACTCTTTGGGGAGGGTTATATTCTTGTATAATTTGGCTTCAATTTACCACACTGACTAGATTCAAATCCCCAAGGCAGTTAAAATGACGTAAGAAAAATATAAATAATGTATAGCCGGTGGGGATGCGGGGAGGGCTGGTTTGAATCTCTAAGTCTTTTATGTAACCGAGTGTTAACACACTCTGTAAGCTGGGCATACTTCTTTAGGCAACGTCCTGGGGGAGGGGGAACAGCTGCTGCATCTTAATAGGAAATGTTTCATTAATCACGACAAAGCCCAGGTTTAAAAGTTTCAAAGCCCTGAAAACATTTTTATTAAAATCGCTATAAATCTGATGAAAACAAGAGATCAAAAACTTCTCCCCGTGGAGCTTCAGATATAAACCAACTCATCAACGAACAATGTTTGCGCACGGATGTGGCCACATCTGGGTCGGGGGCCTTCAGAAAAACATCTCCAAAGAGTAAACGTATTTCTTAAGTGGATTAAAACCCCTGGAGTCCAAGGGATTTATGAAGACACTGAGCGGAGCACTGTAACTCCCCTTTTTGGCAACCGGTGGGTGGGGGACGTGCACACAAGAGCCAGGGAAAACCTTGCAATAACCATTTTAATTTCTTTTTAGCTTTATATGGCTGAACAGTATTCAACGTCACTTTATAACACATATTGCAGGCTATTTTTCTGGCTACTTTTTACTTATCAAGCACGACTTTGGTACGTAGTTAATTTTTTGCCAGTGCCAGGATAATGGGCTGAGCCGTCAGTGACCATGCTCCCCTACTTGTCTAGGAAGCAGAAAAGCCCCGGTCACCCTGTGCCACCTTCCTGCTTCAGTGTGTCGTGTGGCAGCTGGGTGACAGTCACAAAGGCTAAACACCCAGAATTCCCTTCCCGACTCAGCAGAGGACACAGTCACACGAGCCCAGGGTCTAAAAATCAAGAATCCTGAATGAGAGGGCCGACATCAATTTGACGACTTTTGGCCATTTACATAAAGTATCTTTGTCAGATGAATCAAGAAAATAAAAAACTAATTTCAGATAGGTTATTGTACGGGCGTAGGTATAGCTCAGTAGCAGAGCGTGTGCTTAGCGTGCACAAGGTCCTGGGTTCAATCCCCAGTCCCTCCATTAAATAAATAAGTAAGTAAACCTAGTTATCTCCCCCAACGAAGAAAGTTAAAATTGAAGAAAAAAAAAAACAGAGAAGGTATTGTAAACAAAGATCCACGGGGTCAGAGAACCGTTCATCTAAAGGCCTTTCACAATCACACATCCAAAATCAAGGATATGGTGATGGAGACAGTAATATCGGATGGTGCTTTTCAAACATTTAACAGGTGCCACATCCTGTACTAAACAGAAACTCATTTCATCTTCACAATAATTCCGGGAGGTGGGTACTAGTGTCATCCCCATTTTAGACAGGAGGAAACTGACACTTGGAGAGGTTCAGAACTTGACCGAGTCTCACGGCTGGCAAGTAGTTACAGTCAGGACTCAAACCCAGAGCCACCTGACCTGGGAGCCTGTGCTCCCAGCTGTGACCTGGCGCTGCCTCCTTAGCACGAAAGCTTGATCTGCAGCCAGCAGAGAGGCTCCTGGGCGCTTACAGGAAACATGAGACGGGTGGCCCATGAACATGACCCTGGACACCAATGGCAGTCTGCGCAGCACTGTGGAGGAGGGCCCTCCCCCGGCGGGATTACCAGGTGAGGGGCAAAAGGGACACATGCAGACTCCCAGGCCCCAGACTCGGAGATCCTGATTGGCTAGATCTGGGACGGGGTCCAGGAATCTGATTTTCTTAGTAAATGCTCCAGGTTGCCAGTTCGGGAAACAATGTTCTAAGGAACACGCTTTGGAAACATAGCTCTAAGGAACACTGTTACGTGGGTTGCACAAACTTTCTTGGTAGTTGTTTCCATTTCTGGCCGTGTACTTTTACAAAATGCACGTTGGCTGAAAGACCTTTTGAGGAGCTTAAGAGAATCCCTGGTGTTTTTAAGGCTCTCATTCAAGACTCAGCCTGCGCTTACATATGGGCTCTGAGAGCTCACTTCTCCAGATGTGATTTGGAGAATAATACTCACCTTCCAGTCATACTTCGAGTACCCAAAAAAGGTGATTCTGGGTAGGCCGCTGAAGCCAAGAGAAATGACTGGGACCACAGCTCACATCACTAAATGTGCTCAGACGCCTAATGAGAACATCAAGTCTTAGCTGGGTTTCAGGAGTTACGTATGCTTAACGGTGAGCTGTAAAATGCTACATTTTTGGAAAACTGTTTGGCAACATAGCCTTTAAGTTCATATTCTCCAACCCAGTAATTCTATTTCTAGGACTCTGATCCAGGAAAAATAATTAGAGAAGTGTGCAAAAACCATTCGCAGAGATGCTCATCACTGCCATGTCTCTGACAGCCGAAAATACCTCAGACAGTATATGCGTCCATCCACGGGGGAGTGGTTCAATTAAGTGCACAGCCTTTAAAAAGCATATTGTCTATGTTAAACTAAAAAAGCTTCTGCAGGGCCAAAGAAACAATCAACAAAAGAAAAAGCAAGCTACAGAATGGGAGAAAACAGGGGGAGTGGTACAGCACATTTGGTAGAGCGCATGCTCAGCACGCAAGAGGTCCCAGGTTCAACTCCCAGTATCTCCTCCAAGCGGAAATCAATGAAGAAACCTAATTACCTGCTCCTCAGAATACAGACAATCTAAGAAACACATGTGCTCTCACTTGTTCCAGAATGGGAGAAAACACAGCTGATAAGGGGTTAATGTTCAAAATACATAAGGAACTCACAACCAATGGCAAAAAAACAGATCACCCATTTTAAGAACAGGCCAAAGACCTGAATAAACATTCTTCTAAAGAAGATACATTCAAATGACCAACAAGTACCCGAAAAATGTGCTCAGCATCACTAACCAAAAGGGAGATAAATGCAAATCAAAACCACAATGGGATATCACCTCACACCTGTCACAACGGCTTTTATTACCAAAAAAAAAAAGAGAGAGAGAAAACAAGTGCTGGCGAGGATGCAGAGAAAAGGTAATTCTTGGGCACTGTTGATGGGAACGGATAAAGAAAATGGGGGTATGTCAATTATATCTTAATAAAGCTGGGGGAAAAAAAGCGTATCACCAAGGAATTTCCACCATATGCTCACAAAACAACAGTTATGAGAATGCTGCTATACACGCACATGTAGGCACTCTGTACAGTGTTGAGCTAAGTACCGATATACACCATATAAAGACCATTCTTTGTTTAAAATACAAATATATATAATCTATATCCATATATAAAACAATAGAAGTCCAACCAAAATGTTTATGATTATTTCTGAGTAACTTCTATTTTCTTCTTTACAGATTTATTGTCTAAATCAGACAAAGCTATGAAATTAAGATACATCCTTTATAAATCATGTTTTCAGAGAACTGTTAATGAAATGGGAAATGCATATCATATAATATCAAGTGAAAATATAGGATAAAAATATATATTCAACATAGTACCAATTTGTGTTTTTAATTTTATATATACACAGGATGATACAGTAACTGTTACGTATGTGTAGTGGGATTCAAAGTAATTATTTTCTTCATTCCCCTTGTGTATCTTTTCCAAACTTTCTACAGAGGGAACATGTTAGCACTCCAAGTCGGAAAGAAAACCCAGTCAGTGGCATTTTAAGCCACAGTTTCCATGAGGAACATTTGCCTGGGAGCCCCTTGCAGCTGGGGGTGTTCTGTGAGGTCGTGAGCACCACAGCCGGAGGCGAGCCCCCACCCCACGGAGGCAGCCCCCTCGCACAGGCCACGTGAACAGCACCCGCACAGGGAAATAATCATAATGGCGAGCGAGTCCTGAGTGTGTCCCAGGCGCCCGGCCCTGTGCCAAGGGCTTTGTGGGCATCACCTCCTTGAACCCGTTGAGGCTGGTCCTCACCCAGCAAGGGGTCGCCTGATTTCAAAACCCGTGCTCTCACCGACATCAAACTCTGGTAAGGAATCCGTCTTTAAGGAATATCTTGACAACTACAGCGTGTTTCTAGGGAGTGTATCTGCTATGCCCAGAACCTCCTTTCTGATTCATTTATGTAAGAATAATGTGAAATTTTCACTTTGACCTATGACTGCTCCTAGGGGTCGTTTTCAATAAATAACACATCCCACTGCTGCTCCTGTTTTCGGTCTACCTACCTTCTCTTCCGATGGGTAAAAGCCGATTGCTCTCATGACAAAAGGAAGCTCCGAAAGGCAAATGTGTTCTGACACCTTTCTGGTCTCCATTGTATCAATACCTTGACTACGGAGCTGAGAGTAGTAAAAATAGTCTTCCAGCTCCTACGTGGAAATAAAATGGAAACTCAACACGCGTTTTTGGCTTAAGTCTGAAGCATCCATTAAGACTTCAAGGACATTTTCTAGAAAGCACATTCTGAGCCCAGTGGGGGAAAAGAGCTTTGGAAAAAAAGCAGGAAGGTTTCACCCGGGGTACATTTGTTTTACAAACTTAACGAGACGTTACCAGAAAGTGTTTACTCTGGGGACAATTACCCTGTAGAATTTTCCTTCCCTGCCACCAGACACCAGACCATAGAACGGGGTCAGGTCTTCACCCCCAAGAGAAACCGCTGCCTCCAGGGCACTGAAACAGTAACAGAAATGTCAGTATTAGAAAGCGCTCAGGCGAGAACGCGCCGCAGCCGGGGGTCGGCGGACCTCTGAAGGGTGTCACAGCGCAGGTACGGTTAGGGTCTCAGTAAACTTGTCAAGCAAATTCCCTCCAAAATGAAGCTGAAAATGGAACATTCAATTTCAAGTGTGGAACCGGGGGGTACAGGGCGCCCGCATTAATGATGGTGGTACTCCCTCTCGGATGCACAGGGCAGGTGCGTGGCAATCTGTCTGCAGACTCTGGGGAATGCTTCTCTCCTGTGGGAGGGCGCAGGGAGGGAGGGCTCCTGTGTGCTGAACCCCCGTCCTCCCCAGCTGGGCAGCCTTACCGTAACTCTAGCCCTGCTATGACCGGGGCCAAAAGAACAGGAAATGGCACAGGTGGACGGCCAACACTAATTGCTTCCATAAAAACCGGGGAGGCCGCGAGGGGCCCATGCCAGTCAGACGAAAATAACCCTCTGCTCTCTAACACAGGGTCAGATTTTTCCAAAAATAGGCCCTTTAGATGGTAAGAAAACCTACTTTTTTGTATGAGACTGACTTTGCCTCATGCAAAACGCTAATAATGTGAAGTCATTTTAATAATCCACTGGCTGCATTTCTGCTAATCAGGCCATTAGCCTCTTTGTGGGGTAATTAAAACACACTTTGGTGTAGACCACAGTGGGGAAGCGGCTAAGTGTACAGTATCTGGAGTCAAAAGGACATGCGTGTGAGTCATGGCTCTGCCGCTTGCAAGCGGGGTGATCATGGGCAAGTGTGACTTACCCTCTATGGACCTCAGTTTCCCCATCTGTCAAATGGGAATAATTACAGGGTCTGCCTCGTGGGGTTGTTGTGAAAATTAAATAAGTGAACGGACATAAAGGATTTGTTGTGAAGTCTTTGTTTTTCTCCTGTGAAGCATCTTTGTTGGGGTGTGGGGCTGAATCAGAAAGGCCGGATGTGAACTCCAGCCCCAGCACCTCACTCCACTGCTTGGGCAGGTCACAGCTGGTCTCCAGAACTGTACAGCGGGGACACCGACGGTCCCGACCTCGCAGGATGGCTGGGAGGGTAAAGCAGACAATGCGTGGGAAGAGCGCAGCCCAGGGCCCGGCCGGGGACTGTTACTACCTGGTCCTGAACAGGAACTGAGCGCTGCTGGGCACCTGCCCCTCTCACACGAGAGTCGGCCACAGAGCAGCCCTCGGCCCTGTGCCAGCCCCACCGGCGTGAGGTCCGTGGTGTACTCTCCCGTGGGCCTGAGGCCCGTCTCCAGCAGGGCCCAGTCTTCACCCAGCTCTTGGCTCTGGTAGTAGCCATCGAGGCAGGTGCCCGGCTGAGAGGGCTCCCTCTCTGTGGCCCCCAGGCCATACCCAAGCCCAATCCCGGCAGGCGCTGTGGGCAATGAGGCCGCCGTCAGCCATGTGGGCCTGGGGCAGGTCTGGGTAAAGGCCAGAAGTGGAGCATGGAGGAGCCTGTCACCCCCAGGAACACCCCAGGCGACAGGCTCACAGAGCTCTGGAGTGTCTGGGAACAGCCCTCCGGTGGTCAGGACCACACGCCGTCCCCTGCTTCCTGGCCACTGTCAGTTGAGCCGAGACAGCCAGAGGGACAGGACGGCGGTTGTCCCACCAGAGCCAGGGGAAGGGACTCCCTCTCTCTGCGGTGTGAAACCTGGGGACCGTCAGTGGTCATGTTCCCTCTGAGTGACAAAATCCAGCTCTGCAGGGAGTGATGGCGACAGCAGAGGCAAGCAGAGCACAAACACTGAGTGTGGGCTGTCCCTGCCGTTCCCACAGTGCGGTGACCTGAGACCCCGGGGACTGGCTCATAACTTCCCCTTTCTGCCTAAGTTGAGTTCTAACCTGCAGCAAAAAAAGAGAGAGAGAGAGAGAGAGAGAGAGAGATCACTGGGGTACAAGAAGGAAGCACATTTATTGAAAACCTACTGTGTGCCCAGAAACATATACACTACTTCTGGGAAAGGAACTAAAGTCCGAGAAGCAGGGAGCACCGTAACCAGCACAGAGCGAGTGCTCAGTGAACGCTCCCTAGGGGAGGAGAGGAGGGAGTGGAGGAGGGACAGCAATGCTAGAAATCACTACCCTCAAGACAGCTCTGAACACGGTGATAATGTCCCCATTTAACAGATGGAGAAACTGAGATGCAGGGAAGTGGAGGGACTCACCACAGGTCGTACAGCAAATAGTAGGGGAGGTGGGGTTGGAACCCAGGTCTTTCTGCTCTTGTCTGAGCAAGGCAGCAGGATTACAGGCGGGAGTGAGGGTGAGCATAATAAAGTCACGGGGGATTTTTTAACAGTTGCCAGACAAGGAGAGAAAAAGAGTGGTCTGCTAGTCAAGATGGGGCACTCTGGGGGAAGAGATGAAGGGAAGGGACTCCCGGGGGAAGCTGGAGATGCTGCAGTGATAGTTCGCTGATTAAAATAACGTGAACATGAGTAGATTTTTAAAATAACGTGAACATGAGTAGATTTATCATCTTTACTTCACCCTGCAACTCGCCATCGGTCGATCTGGTGGGGAATTTTGTTTGTTTCCTTGTTTAGGGTTTTTACATTTCTTCCCATTAGCGAAGCACTGCACTTATTAAAACACCAGAAGCAGCAATGAAGTGCTAATTAGTTTATAATGATCCTTTGTCCCCACAACAGATTAAATTGAAATTCTCAGAAGCCTGGACTCTGGCCAGGCACAGGAAAGCTATTGGAAAGTGTGTGCTTTTTTTTGTTTGTTTGTTTTTAATCTCTACCATTCCAGCCAGATCCCAAGACAACAGAGAAGAGGACAAAGCTGGAAAAGGGAGGATTCTGTTCTCCCACCAGGGTGCTGCTTGCCTGCACGGGTCCAGGTAACAGCCTCGGTGTCAGGGAATCAAGCAGCGCATTCTGGGAACTCAATCAGGAAGTTCTTTTCCAGGGGAGCGCTCACCTCCAGCTTCTACATTTTCAGGTCTGCTCTTTCAGGTGAAGGCCGAGGTGAAGGTCAGAGCTGCAACTGCAGTCTGAAACCACCACGGCTCCAAAGCCGTCACCTGGCTGCTCCTGCTCCCACTCAGGTCAAGGGGAGAAGCTTCGATGTCGTCCGTAAAAGAAAGATGTGCATGTGGCGGATAGTAGAGGATATACTTCTTACTGAGAGCCAAGAATCAAGTTTGTTCTTTTAAGAAGGTCGGTGCCTCCGAGCTGTTTTAACCCAGCTCCTCAGGGTGGCCCTGCCGGCAGGGGGCCCTCTGAGAGGCAGGGCCTTGGAGAAGGTGGTCAGGGAAAGGAGCCAGCTCCGCCCTGTGGCGGCTCGCTGAATTGGGGGAGAGGAGAGGATCACCATAGTGGTAACCCCCCTTTTTTAATGAGAGAGATCCTGGGCTTATAAGCAAATGCCTTTATAAGGAAGAAGAAAGGAAATCGTTCATTTACTGAGTCCTTAGTTCTATGCTTTACATATGTTAACCAATCTGGTCCTTACAAGGATCCTATAAAAGTCCCTATTGTTAACCCTGTGGACCCGCATTTCACAGACAAGGAATCCAAAGACCAGAGATGCTAAGAAACCTGCTCTAGGTCCCAGAGCAGTAGACAGCAGGCTTCACATTTGAACCCATGTCTCTTTGACCTCAGAGTCCATGTCTCTCTGACGCTCAACCCTGGAATTCTCCAGCCTGATCATAGGCAGAGATTCTCAGCTCAGAGCAGAGGGTGAGAAAAGTAGACTGAAATACACATTTCAAATAATACCCTCGTTATTTCTGTAATACGCACTTTGGAGATTGGGGCTAGATCTTTCTAGCTGGCATGCACCTGCAGGCGACAGAGCAAGAAGTATTTCAGGGGGTGCGGGAACACAGGTGGAACAACATGCCTCACCTGCAAACACCATGGGTCCCGAGACAGAATAGCAACCTTTTGTCTGCTCGTTAATGTGAACCGATGTCACAGGGAGCACCCTGAAGGCAAAACCTGGGTCCTGGCCATATCTGTACCTGCAGGCCTAGCGCAGTGCCTGCACTTTGCAGGGCAAACCCGTCTGCTGTTGCCGGGAGAAGAAAAGGAGTCTGCACATGACGCCTTCCTTTTGGGGCCAAGCCTCTCACTGCACCATGTACCTTAAGTTGATTTCCCACTGTGCCACCGATCGGTCCTGGCCTCCTGCTGTGAAGGCATAGCGGCCATCGTAGGAGAGGGTCAGTCCAGCCACCCCGCTTGGGTGGCAGATAAGCGCAGAAGTCTTATGTGGATTGCCATCAACTGGCAAGATCTGAAGTCCAACCTGGAAAGGAAGACGTAATCAGGTATTCAGAGTTGGATAACGGGACTCCAGGCTGGGCCTACACCAGGCTGGGCCTACAGATTCGCCTGCTACCTCCAGGTCTGTTTACTGAAAGACCTGTGTGTCTGGAACAGACCACCTCAGTGTGTGAGAGAGTCATCGCTCATGTGGCTGGGAATCTGCACATACTGACCCCTGCAGGGTGGTCCCCTGGGAGAGAGACCGTAGGTTCCATCAGGGACACCCAGAAAGGGAGATCTCTTCTTCTTTTCATGGCCAGGTGCCCAGGCTTTTCCAGGATAATTCTGGCATCTTATGATTTTTATGCTTTTCAATATAGAGTATTCATTAAGTGTACAACTAAATGTAACTAACTTGTATGTCTTTATAAGATTTTTCCTTGTAAATAAATTAGAAAGAAAAAAAATCCTTTGGTGGGCCACGTGTCTTCATTGGGAGCACAGAAAATACGGTAACTCGACTGGAAATGTCTCACTGCTGACCGGGATGGAAGACGCTGGGCCTGGCTGTGAAAACAAGCATTTGTGAACCTCGTGACACTTAGGACTCACTGCTGCCCCGAACACACAGAGGCAGCTCACAGAGGCAGAGAGCAAAGGGTACCTTGTCTCTGTTAGTAAACACCAGGTAGCGTTTCTGCAGCTCCATGGGCGTTTTTGCCCGGAGGATTTGTACCTGCTCGATGGGAGAGCCGTAAACTGGCCCGAGGAGCGTCTTTCTGCAAGAGGGAAAAAAAAAGTGTTTTTTAAATTCCACAAATCTGAACATAGGTTTTACGACTCGCTCCATCCCGTGATACCCCATGTTTTAAATTCTGAATTTCCTGTCCTATCACTGCTAAGAACCTCTCTCTCAACCATTAGCGGCAGCTGTAAATAAGGGGCGATAGCTACAAACAGCGAATGCACCGGGGAAAGCCGGATGGTGAAGGCTGCTTTTTGTGGCCGCGGCCCTGACTTTCCTCCTTGACAGCTGAGTGATGGGAACACTGTGCCCCGAGAGCGTGGACACGAGAGACTAGAACGAGACGCCGTCCGTCGTCCAGACATCTGACATCAGGTCCAAAAGCAACATGCAGATTCAAAATAACAAAAAACCTGCTTGCAAATCAAACTGTAACAAATCGCATCCCCTCAACAGTCAGACTCCAGCACTAATTAGGAATCTGATCTGAGGTGAGGCTGCCGGACGTCGCCTCAGGCCTGGAGCTGGATTTTCCCTGAAGCCAGCAGGACTTGAGTTTCAGGCCCCCTCCCTCCCTCGCACAGGCACCTTCTGAGGCTTGAGAGGGGCCCTAGCCATTTTGTATTTTTAATTATATATCTTTTAAAATAGGGAGAGAGAGAGAGCCCACAAAACTGAACACACTTCACATCCCACAAAACCTGGGTCTGCCCCTTGGCAGGGCTGCTAGCTCGTTCATCTTATTATATTACAAGCCCCTCACTGTTTGGGTGTGTTTTCTCCCTGTGTCCCCTGCACCCAGCCCGTGCCTGGTGGGGACAGGAGACACTCCACGGAGGTCTTTCTTGAGCACCTCCTGTGCCAGGCACTGCGTTAGGGGCTCGGGACACAGAAACAAGTGTGATTTGGTGGCTGCCACTGAGCTCCC